AAAAGCAACGAAAAACAGCATTTAATGTTTTTTTCGTGACTCATAAGGTTTGGTTTGCAATCTTACACTGCTCTTCATTTTCCCAATGAAATAGTGGTAAACATCTTGATAATCTTTAATCGATGTGAATTCCTTCTTATTAGCAGCTGGAAAGGCTTCAATGAGTTGCTTATTAAACTTTAACATATAGATATAAATCTGCATCCAAGTCTTGGTGAAYGGATCGGCTAAATGCATATTGACTAGTTTCATGGCGTCGATGTCTGTGATGACAAAYGGTAGACCAGGAATGGATCCAAGTTTGTAGATGTTTTTAACATCAGTTAGTTCTTTCTGTCTTTTAGCTTTGCAGTGTGTTTCAGCCTTTTGTGATATCTTAACTTCACATGGCTTTACTGCAAAAAGGAAATTATATGTAAGCCATATAACAAGGGTTGGATAACGGCATTAGGGTTGGATAACGGTATTTGAGGACATATTGCCCTTATAACTGAAGCACGTCTCCATACTTGCGCCTTGAAATGTAGTTTCGAAAGAGTTTTTGTTATTTCACACTTCCTCATTTTGTTAACTTATTAATTCAGTAGGATGTTCACTTGGATACATATCCAAAACAGGATAATCTCTTCTTTATTTAGCCATCCCTTCTCTATGGACCTGTTTACATAAGATCTAGATAGTGTGCCATGGAGGAATTCAAACAAAACGGTTTGGCCATCTWCCTGGGTGTACCCTATCATATAAGCAGGATCTAAATCATGTTCTTCTRAATAGCTGGGAATGTCTGAGTATTAGAGAGTGTTTGTTCAAGCTGTGAATCTTTCTGTTATGTAACGGTTTAGATACCTTCAAGACATCCAACGCCTTCTTTAAATCCCTTCCATCCAGGGCAACAGTCATACGAAATATAATGACGGTCACTACGGACTGGGTACCAGTAGATTCGTGTCTCGTACCTTAAAAAACAGTTACTTTAGTTGTTGGGTTGGCACTTTCTACATGAAGGTTCGACTGCGGACTTCGCAGCCCATCGCCATCGCAACCAAAGGCGCATCAATTGCGCGGATGTTACAGCAGCGCCTGGGCGAAAACGTAAGGGACCTAGCGGATGCACCTTCGCTTCGAGGACTCTCCTTGGAAGAGAAATTGGACATTTTACAGACAGCAGCGGAACATCGATAATTCTGAACATTTTTAATTTTTTTTATTTTTGCATCCCCCGGAGGCCTTTTGATTAGCCTGATCCGGTATTGGATTTGGTTGCGTCCCGTGATAGCTACGAAAGTGCTCAGTTTTTGCTTCTTTCTTTTTTTCCACAGCCAGGAGGCTTTGCTCTAAGGTGAGGGTAATGTAACGGGAGAAAATACATCAAAATTGTTTAAGGACACAAATCAGTTATTATTACACAAATTGGTAATAGTAGAAAATTGGCAAAACATTCTGTCACGATC